ACCGCAGACGGGCACCCGGAGCCCAAGACTGCCAAGGCCCCGGGGACCTGGGCATGTCTGCCCAGGTGCCCGGGGGCCGTGACCGGGCCGCTGCCCCCAGCCTGGAGCCCGTGAGGGTCTGGGCCTCCCCTCGGTGGCTCGGACCCCTCCTAGTGCAGCTCCTGGGCACTGTCCCCAGCTCTGCAGGACCTGTGGCCAGGAAAGCAGAGCGGGGAGGCCGAGCTGCCCGGGGCAGGTGCTCAGCCGGCACCAGCAGCCTGGCGGGGGCAGAACCTGTGGGGCTCAGCTCCTGCGTCTTCCTCCTGTCTGCCGCGGGCGCAGGAAAGGAGCGGGGACCACCTCGTCCTCCCGGGGCTGCGATCCCATCCCCAGGTGCTGTCCGCCCTGCCAGTGCTCAGCCGGGGTGTGGGACAGGGTGGGCCGTGTCCTTCCCTGGACACCGCCTTGTGTGTCTGGTTCAGAGCCTCTGTGATACGTCCACTGGCCCATCCGCCAGACACCTGCCCGTCCGTCCATGCGGCCATCTGTCCGCCTGTCCATCGAACTCTGCCTGAGCCTGGGGGCCAGGCGCTGAGGCACAGCCGTGGCCTCCAGATGTGCTCCCAGGCAGCGCACCTACCAGGGGGCTGGGGCCCTGCCCCCGAGCGCTGCTCTGGGGCCGCAGCGGCGCCCACAACCCAGTAGGGCCGGCTGGACCCTGCCGTCTGTGGGCCCCGGGGCGGGGGGTCTGCAAGGCGGAGCTGCAGGAAGCCGGGCAGGGGTGACAACCGTGAGCGCCAGGGGACAGCATGGCAGGCGGGAGCAGGGCAGGGCAGACGTGCCTTCCGGGGCAGAAAAATGAGGGGACGGAGCGGACGCCTGGAGTGGATGCGCGACGCTGTGCGTGGGGAAGGGGTCGGGAGGATGGGGGCGAGGTCCCGAGCACCGCCCTCCAGTCGGGCTGAGCTGGGTGCAACTCGGCCCCTTCTTGCCGCCTCTGGGGCTGTTGGACCTCCTGGCCTCAGCGTCCGAGTCTGTGAGATGGGGGCCCTGGGGCCTGCCTCACTGAGGTCACGCTCCTGGGCAGAGCCGGACACGAAGGAGGAAGCCCCTCGCTCCCAAGACGGCCCGTCCGCAGCACTGGGCTGCGACTCAGCTGCTCGGGCAGCTGCCAGCTTCCCCCCCCGGGGGCGTCGGCCAATTCCGGGTACGTAAGAGTCGGGTCAGGGAAGGCGCCAAAGCCGAGAGGGGGAAATGGCGTCGTCAGCACGGAGAGCAGCGGCCGGGGCTGCCGGGGAATGGTCACAGCAGCGCTGTTCAGACGGGGTGCTCCCAGGTGCCTGAGGGTGGGGCACACACGGCCTGTGGGCACCACGCTGGGCAAGCCGGTGGGGGCAGGGCCAGGGCAGGACCAGGCGGCAGCTGACCCAGGCAGAGGGGGACCCAGAGGGAGAAGGGCCTAGGATCTCCAGGGCCTGGGTCCCAGCTCTGCAGGAAGCCCCCCTCAGAGCAGAGCAGGGGCGCTGAGTCACAGCCGGGGACGGAAGCCAGTTGCCATCACCAGGGGGCTGGCACAGGCTGGCAGGTCCGCCTCCCTCGCCTCCCGGGGTGCGGGGCATTCTGTGGGCCGGGCGTCAGGAGGGCCGGCTGCTGCCTCCTTGAACGGTGAGGTTGTTGGTGGAGGGAGCTCCTGGTGGGCCCCGTACACGCAGACTGCTTGGCGTCCTCCACGCAAGGTGCCCCCCACTGTGGGGAACTGGGGCCCTGCACTCCCCTCACCCCCAGGCACCCCCTCCAGCAAGAGCTGATCTGAGCGGGTCGGGCGACACCCCCCTGGAGACCTCTGGGGCACTGTGCAGGCTGGGGGCAGGTCTTGCCCCCCACGAGAGGGAAGGGGCAGGTTGGGGGACGGGAGGAGAGGGACCTAGGACTCCTCAGGCCCAGCTCAGGTCCAAGCCACTTGGGGGACCTTCCGTGAGGGGCGCAGGCCAGTGGGGAGCCTCGGGAGCCTGTGGGTGGGAAGGAGGCCCAGTGCGGGGGCGCGGCTGTCACCCCGAAGGCCAGGGTAGGGGCCACTCCCTCGCTCAGGGCCACGCCGGGGAGCAGGGCAGTGGGTGGGAGAAAGCTGCAGGGGGGCCTCTGCAAGGGGCAGCCTTGGGTGGTCCAGGTGCCCCTGCACTCGGAGCCAGCGGCTGGAGGGAAGCGAGAGGGTGCCCACACTCGGGGAGAGTGTGCCCTCGAGAGGTTCAGAGAGCTGCCGGGACCTCCGAGGTGGGCTGTGGCCACACTTCTGCGGGACCTGGCCCCCACCACGCCCGTTCTGGGTCATAGTGTTGCTGGGTCCCCAAGCATCACTTCCTGGTGACAACCTCACAGAGAGGCAGCCTGGTTGGGCCAGCTCCAGCAGCGAGCAGGGGTGGAGCGGGGACTCGAACCCAGGACTCCAGGGGGCCCGGTTCTTCCTCTACTGAACCACGAGTTCTGCGGCCCACGGCTCCTGGACCGTAAAGTGCACGAGCAGAGGGGCCCTGGGCTCGCTTCCCGCTGAGTCCCTGTGCCGGGCACCCCGCCCGTCCTTGCTCTGGACATGCTCCCACCCGGGGCCGTGGGGACTCTCCCCCCCTCCCCCGGCTGGACATCTCTGGGCTCTGGCTTCGCCGGAACCCAGGAGAAGAGCTGAGCACGTACAACCATTTTCTCAGATGAGTTATAATTTTCTCTCATTTCCCCTCCAAAACACGCTAATTAAGCAGACATTGTTCGGACAGCCAATGGCAACGCAGAGCCGTGTCCCTTCCGAAGGAACGCGCCCGCTTCTGCAGCAGCAATCGCGGGCATTGTGCAAGCTGCACACGGACGCACACACGTGTGAGCACATGTGCGCCGCCGGCTGCAGGCGCCTTCCCCCTCCCCCCGGGTGCTGGGACCGCCAGGCTGAACTTCCCCTTTTTGCTCTGTTTGCCACTGTCACCAGGGCACAGATAACCCTAGAACGTCCTGTGTGCCTGCAGCTGCTCAGCGCCCGGGCTGGGGTGTCTGTGTGGGGCTGAGCTGTCACCCCGACGTTCCTGGCTGTCCCCTTGCCTCCCCCATCTCCTGCTCACCTGAGCCGGCCAGAGGCCCTGGACCCGGCCTGGCAAGACCCTGGCCCCAGGGTGCCAGGCTCCATAGCACACGCAGCCATCTCAGCCTCTGGCCCTGGCGAGGGCATCGGTCGGTTAGAGCCTTGTCCCCATGGGCCACTGTCGTGGGTTCGATCCCCACACAGGGCACAAACAGGAATCCATCGATGATGGGTGAATAAGTGGAACAACAAATCGATGTTTCTATCAACAAGCCAACAAACACACGAATAAATAAATCAATCTCAGCCTCCAGAACCCAGGAGGGTGGAATGCCAGGCCTCCCGGTGACAGGGGGCTCCCGGGGGGCCACCACCCTTGCTCACAAATGTCATTCCTCGATTTCTCTAATCAACGTGTCGCAGACACACAGGAAAGTGGCCACAAAGTGACTTGTCACGAAGCGGCACTTGGCGGAACCAGGACGGCGCCCATTACAGAAATGGCCTGAGGCCCCCAGGGCCCCACACCCAGCCCCCAGCCCCTAGGACCCCAAAGGGAGCCGCTGGCTGACCCTCATACTTGGTCTCCCTCCAGTGGCCATGGGCTCACTCGGCCTGTGTCTTGCAGCTGTCACTGTCCCACACAGAGGCGTGGCCGGGCCCCGCGCCATTGCCCCAGGACGCCTGGGTCCTCTCCAGGTGGGCACCATCACCAACGTTGCAATGGCCCTGGTGTCTGCTGGGGTCCCAGACGGCCACCTCTGCTGGCACTAGCCTGAAGAGCAATTGCCAGGTCACCGGGTGTGGGGGACCAGAAACCACCATGGACAGACTCGGCGTTCGCCCCCGCTGTCCACTCTCCTGGCCGCCGTGAGAGCTGTGCTGCCAGGAGGCCACCTCGCCGCCTGTCCCCCACCTCTCCTGTACCCCACGCAGCGCTGGGCACAGAGCAGGTGCCCAGCAGACCCCTGGGATGGAATGACGGTCCCAGCACCCCCGGAACAGCCCTGGGGCCGAGCCCAACCCTTGAAGCCTGCTGGGGTACCCAAAGCATCTTGGGGATGCAATGTCTGCCCTGAGCCCAGGCTTGGCCCCATGGCCCTGCCCTGACGCCCTCTCGGGAGCCATGCCCCACTCAGGGCCTTGACTCATGGTTCGGCCCCGCCCCCAGGCCCCAGGGCACATTGGGCGCAAAGCCACGACTCCCAGGTCCTCCGGGCCATGAACTCTGGGGCTGAGGGGCGGGAGCAGGGGGCACAGTCTTGCTCAGCAAGCATTTGGTTCCCCAGGCTTGGGATTGCGGGGCCCCGTGCAACCTGCACCGTCCTCATGGGGCTTGGCTGCCGGGTGCCGGACCAGGCCGCTGGGCAGTCCAGAGCCACCCCGCCACCCTCCAGCCAGAGTCCTCCAGCCAAGGCCATTTCTGGTCTTGGGGAGGTGAAGGCACCGCACAAGGAGCCTGGCCCCGGGAGACCAAGGTCAGGCCAAGGGTCTAAGACCCGGGACCGCAGCTTCGAGAACGGGCAACCCTCCCACCCCTGAGGCTCCCTGGCCCCTCCCCAGGACTCCCCTCACCCGCCCCACCAAGAGGAGAACGGTGCTTGGCCTGCCAGCCCCACCCCACGGGGCCAGGCTCCTTGGGGTAGATGCTGGGCCGGGGGTATCAAGTCTACCACCTCCTCTCTGCGGGGGAGGCAGGGGGTGGTCTTCAGGGTCCCGGGAGCCACAGCCTCAGTGGGCCTCCCCTCTCCCTCACCAGAACCCTCAGTGCCCAGAGGCAGAGCCTGGACAACATACCTGGGTACAGGGGCCAGATTCAGGCACCTCCCCCTCTAGATGCCATCAGTGTGGCCCAAGGCCCCTGGGCGGCGAAACTGCTGCCCGAAAGGGCAGCACCTCTGACTCAGCACCCACGTTCCAGGACTGTGGCCAACCCCCAGCCTGACCGCCAGGGCTGATGGTCTGCCCGGGGCAGCGCGGAACCCACCCACCCGCCTGTCTCTGGATCTCTGGGAAAGAACCTGGTAGAGTGTGCCCATTCCCAGGGAGAGAGGAGGTGAGTGACCACAGGGAGCTGACGGAGACCAGAGACCCGGGGACCATCGCACACGGTCAGTCAGGGGGCCTGGTCTGGGCCGCCACTGGCCCCCAGGACAGGGAGCCCCAAGGGCCCCGGGGAGGCCGGGTCTGGGGCGCCCCTCCGAGGGGAGCACGTCTCACTCCCGGGGTGAGGGCTCCCTCCGTGACTCGCCTGCAGGCCTGCCCGTGGTGGCCCCTGGAGCCAAGCAAGTCTCCCTAGAGAGAAGCAGGGAGGTGCTGGGTGCTGCAGCAGAGAGCGCAGCTCCGCGGCCAGACCGCCGGGCGTGGCTCCCAGGCTGCCAGGTGCAAGCAGGGGACCTGCAAGGCATAGCCTGAGCCCTCTCCGCCTCGGCTTCTTCACTGGTAGCATGGAATGGTGATAATAGTCAGTGCGATGACACGGATGTGTATCAGGCAGCTTCAGCTGCGTAAGGAGCCACCGCAAACTGGGTCCGAACTCCTACCAGTAGTCTCCTTGCTGGTGAGCCCATAGGTGGGGGTGGTCTGGTGAGCTGGTTCAGGTCTGCTCCCACATTTCCTGATGCTCCCTGAGCCAGTGGCGCCCTGGGCAAGTGGCCCGAGCAGAAGCGAGCCGGCAGGCACGTGTGCCGCAGACCTGCCCAGAAGCCTAGCCACATGGGGTCCCCGCAGCCCCAGAACAACGGCAGACAGAAAGGAGTGGAAATGCTGGGTGCACCTCTCAGCCTGTCTGCCTGTCAGTGGCTGTGCATGGGCCTCACCATGATGCAGAAGACTCTCCGCCTGCCTTCTCACAGAGGTAATACAGCTCCCCTTGCATGCCTCCAGAGACGGGCACCTCACTCCTGCTGAGGCAGCTGGCTGCAAAGCTCTTCCGTGTTTGACCTGGGCCATGCCCTGGGGTCCCTGGTCTGCTTCCACAAGGGCAGATCTACTGCATGTGTTGAGCACCTGCTGAATGCAGTGTGAGACCGGGCTGCCAATCCCACAAACAGCGCAGATGCCCTCACCAGCCCCGGGGAAGCCTGGGGAAGCCCAGACCCTGCAGGGCCACCAGCAGTGTTCAGGCCATGAGACCCACCACACTGTCTGGCAGGGCCACCCCTGCCCTTGCCCCTGTCTCCTGGGTCCCCTGGTCAACAGCCACAGGGGCAAAAATTGCCCGGAAGCCTGAACTGAAGAGCTTCCCACACCTCCCTCCTCTCTGCAGAGATGAGCTGCAAGCCCATCGTCCACCTGGTGAGCACCCAGGGTGCTCCCAATGGGGGGCTGGGGCGGGGCACCGCCATCCTGGCTGCTGGGACGATTCCGAGGCCATCGGGCTCGGCGAAGCCATAAATCTCAATAACCACCGGCCCCGTCTCTCCTGTCCCTGAAATAACAGGCGCGATTTCACCAGTGGCTGCCGGCTCCCGGAGGGCTTTCTGATAAAAAGCCACTTCTCCAAAACATCAAACCCAAGTTCCTCTCGTCTTTCAAACAACCGAAGGGTCAGGTTTCCCTTGAGGGGACGGAGGCCCGAGGCAGGCCGCCGGGCAGCAGGCAGCGCAGGGTGTGGGCCAAGAGGCCAGCGGCAAGGCTCTGGGGTCCCGGAGCATTTGGTAGCCTCCTTAAAGCACATACAACACCTCGGGGAGACGGCTCATCACATCTCTGCTTGATTACCATTAGCGGCAGGGTGTTCACTACCTCTCAGTGCCAGCTGGTCCACATTGGAAAGAATCCGCTGAGAGAAATGCTTTGGACGTGGCCCCAGCACTGGAGACAGATGCAGCTGTCCACCCCTGGTTCTCATGGGGAGACCAGGAGCCCGCTCTGTGACCCCAGGGAGCCAGGACCCACTGGGAGTTGGGGCGGGAGGTGGGAAGGGGCCGTACGCCCACTGTGCTGCTGTGGTTTTGTCCTGGGCAAGTGTGGAGTGGGTTTGTGGAGTCTTGGATGGGGGAGCCCCGCCGCGGGGCGAGGCCAGGGCTGGGAAGGCGAATGGCCCCACCCATCGGCCCAGCTCATTCCGGGTGGGGTGCTCTCTCTCTCTCTAGCTGGGGGCCCCATCCCCTCTCAGCCTTGTCTGTGGGCCCACCAAGCCGACCAGAACGGCCCCAGTTCTTTTGTAATCCCTCCTCTCCTCCCCTCACAGCACCTAAAGGACACTAGGGATCCGGGGGCCCCCAGGAAGGGCGGAGCCCAGACCTGAACCCCAGACGACAGAGTCTCTGGCCTGAGCCCCTGACCACACACTGGGCAGGGGAATGGAGGCCACCCCCAAGGACTTGGGATCAGGGCAGGGCCCCAAGGAGAGTTGTCCCCTCCATCGGTCCCTGCTCCTGCTCCGAGAAACTTTGCTTATCGCTCAGCCATCCTGCAGCGCCTCCTGGATGCCCGGCCCGCAACCCCTCCTTCCAGCGTGTCCTCCAGACCATTCGCAGTGACCCGGGGAGCAGGGAGGGCACTCTGCGGGGTCCCCATTCCAGAGTGGGTGACTGGGGCCGTCAGAGGCACAGCCCCTCCTCAGGGAGGTCTCCCCAACTGTCCCCTCAGCAGGAAGTGGGGCAAAACTTCTGAAATCTGGGCTGCCCCGCAGCAGGGACACGGCTCAGGAGGCAAGAAATCACAAGGGCCTGGCGGTCTTGCCCTTTTCCCTCTGCCAGACAGGGAGCTCCTTGAGGGCAGACACTGAGCAGGGCGGGGATCCTTGCGTCCCCTCAAACCCTCTGGTGACCGGGTTTGCCCTCTACACAAGGGGTCACCGGAGGGAGGAATGGCTCCTAGCGAGCACAGGGCCGGGCTCACCGGCCGACGGCGCTCCCAGCTGGGGGCTCTGCAGAGAGAGGCCACCGTCACAGGGCCCTGGCTTCCGGGGGGCCCCACGCTCCTGCTCCCCTGAGGAGGGGCCTCCTCTTCCTCCACGTCCGGGGTCCCTCCTGCTCCTTCGAGGGTCTCAGGATGAGGCCACAAAAGGCCTTCGGGGCCCAGAGCAAGCTCAGCTGCTCGCTGGCCGGGACGCCCCCTGGCCTAGGAGCCCTGCACCCACCATCCCCCCCGAACCCTCCCCTCAGGCAGTCAGAGCAAACGGGGGCTCAGAGAGGCTCGGCCGCTTGCCCAGGGCCACACAGCAAGTAGGCAGCCGAAGCAGGACTTGAACCCAGGTCCATCTGAGTCCTAAGCCTGGACTAGTGACTCCACTAGGGACAACCTGCCTCTAAAGAGGCAGAGGGAGCCTTGGGGCCCTCCTTGGGCAGACGGGGAGGCCGAGGCCCGAGAGGAGACTGCGCAAGTCCACACAGTGAGCTAGGGCGAACTAAGGTGAGCCCCTGGCTTTTCGGGCTGCAGCCCAGAGCTAGACCCAGCCCGGGCCAAGCTGGGAGGTCGCTGGTGGGCACAGCTCTGGGATGCCTGGCTTGGAGCACCCCCTGCCCTGTCCAGAAGTGCCCGCGGGACACCAGTGGGGGCCTGGCCCTCGCGAGCATTCACCATTCACCACCGGCTGCCTGCCCCAGCTGAGATGAGAACCAGGGCCCCGGCGGGGGACGGGGGGCCCCGTGGCCCACTCTCTCCCTCCTTAGCCCCTGGGTACATGGGCACCCGGAGGCAGCCCCTCCAGCCAGGAAGGGCAGTGGCCCCTAAAGAAAGACCTGTGGCTGCTGGCGGGCCCTCCGTGTAGGCCGAGCAGATCCAACCTGAGCACCCCAAGTGCTCCGTACGGAGTTCGAGTGGTGTTCATCCCCTGGTCCTTTCTCTCGCTCAGTCCTGGGGTGCCTGACACACCTGAGCCAGGCTCGGGGAGGGCGCGGGGTGTGTGCATGGGTCCTGGTCCAAAATAGGTAGCTTCAATGTGTGGCAGGGCCTGAGCCAGGATGGGGCCCCTAGTCCAGACCGAGGCATCAGGGAGGACTGCCTGGAGGAAGGCACATCCACACTGACACAGCAGGGACGGGAGACGCTGTTTGGATGGAAGGAGGGGCAGACCCGCAGAGGGGGGCAGGGGCTTCCAGACCATCGTGCAGGGGCAAATGTGTCGGAAGGAAATGGATGCACGTGGACAGGTGCAGCGATGCCCTGGAGTCCGGACTCGGCCGGAGGCTGGAAGCAGCTGTGGCTGTTCTCAGGGGCGGGGCACCGCCTCCCCCCGAGAGCTGCCCTGTCCCGAGCGGCCTCCAGGACACCCGCGCTCCTCCCCCGTCCTGTGGCGCCTGGTTGGCGGTTGATGTGCGGGGAGATCACCTGCTGATCCAGAACCACCGAGAGCGCCACCCCCCCTCCAGGAAGCCTTCCTGGGCTTGCCCGGGGTGCCCTGAGCCCTGGAGCTGCCCCTCTCAGAGGCAGGGAGGCAGCTGCTCCTGCCGACTCGGTGGCCTCTGTTCTGGCCACTGCGGCCATCTCCTTCCCGCAGTCCCAGGGAGCCTTCACGGTCACTGTCCTCTCGCCCCTCGGTGTGGCCACCAGCCTGCCACCAGGCTGCCCCGCCTTCCCCTCCCGCACTCGCCCTCCCCACCCCCACCCTGTTCTCTGGCAACTCCCCTACAGCGCGGACGCCCCGCCTGGTGATCGGGTTCGCCATCTGCTTCCTTCTCTTCCTTGTTCTGCGTCCACACTCCCTCCCTGTGTGTCTGAGACGCTCCCCCCACACATACACACACGTAGGCTCCCACCCACACGGGCATGCACGCCCCTCCATCCTGATGTCAGGGTCCGCCATGGGCCCCACGGCCCCGCAGGCCTGGCCCCGCACCATGCTGCCCCACTTTGCTTAGCAGAGGGGACAGGCTCCGAGGTGTTGGCGACCCGCCAGGGCCACAGCTGGTAAACGGCAACGCTGAGGTTTGAACCAGCTTCTTCACCGTGAGGCCCACGCCGCCGCCGGCCAGCTCCCCGGAGGAGCCAGGGTACTCAGCAGGCCTGTCCCCACCTGCCCTCTGGCTGCTAACACAACAGAGAAGCTAATCGAGACATCAATATGTTTACTAGGAGCAACGGAACCTTCAGAAAAAGAAAGTGGAGAGGCCCAGGGAGGGCTGTCTGGGTTTCACTCTGTCGAACTGAGCTGAGACATCTTCAGAGGAGGGGCCCTCAGGGCTTTCTGCTCCTTCCGCTCCCCCAGATCCCGACTGCAGACAGGCTGATTGGCGTCACTGCTGGGCCTCGGGTCACACAGGGTCCCTGAGCCCTCAGCTCTGGAGGGGACAGCTGGGGAGTCCCCACAGGCTGCAGGGACCCAGCACTCTGAACCCCGAAGGGGCCGCCAAGCCCGGGTGCACTCCCGAGTGAAGCCTTGCATGGCCCCGGCCTCAGCAACCCGTCCCCGAAGCCCCCGGTCCCACGCAGGTGGCTCAGTCCCGTGGCCGCCCAGCACATGCAGAGTCCAGGTGAAGGAGGGGCCCGGCGAGGGGCCCGCAGCCTTTTCCGTGGACCGGTCCCCCCCCCACCTCACCAGTGCCCCGACCCTGCCTGTTCAAGGGGGTGCCCGACCTCACACCGGGTGGGAGGTGGAGGCTGGCAGGTTCGGGGTGGCCCAAGTCTTCACGCTGTGCCACGGCGGGGGACAGGGACGCTGGCACCATCTGCAGTGCGCACCTCCGCCTTCGCCTCAGCAGCAGGCAGAGGGGACCACCCATTCCTCTGTTCCCAGGAGGAGCCCGTGGCCAGAGGCGAGGAGGAGCGGGCCGAGGTCGGCCCTCGGCGGACACCCGGACACTGGATTCGTGAGGGGGCCACTCCATTAGGTTTATACACGTCCAGTCTCTATGTCGTGCGGCCCAAACTGCCGTGGTACCGGGTCCCGGCTCTGGGATGGGAAACAGACTCCCAACAGGGGGCTGAAGACAGCAGCCGGCCCTGGCTCGGCCCCCCGCCGGGCCCTGGGCTCCCCTCCCCGCTGGGGAGCTGAGCCGGCTCACGGCCACCCCACCGGGCCCCGGCGGCTGCAGCCAGCAGGCAGACCCACTTGGGCGGTGGAGCCTCGGTTCCCAACCCCGCTCTGACCCCCTCCCCGCGGATTTCAGGCCACAGGCAGCTCCCGGAGAGCGGTTGGCGGGGGTCAGGGGGCCCAGCTGGTGAACAAACAGTCCTGCTCTTCCAGAAAAATCCAAAGTCTCATTATCTCGTCCACTCAGCAACCCTCCAGTGACCCTCGGCCTCACCAGGCAATGCCAAGTCCAGCCACCTGATGCGGACGTCAGCCCTCCAGGTCCGGTGGCCCTGGCGCGTGTCAGGCAGTGGGACTGTATGAGCCTGAAGGACGGCTGGCCACCCCGGCCAGAAGGGAGGACCAGGGCCAGGGGTCTTCTTTGGTGAAGATGGACCGTGATAGGTCACACCTGCTCTGCCAGGGGCGAGGGGTGGGAAGGAGCAGCTCAGGCTGATGCACATGCCTGCTGACTTCCCCAGGGACCCCCAGCCACCAGGTCCCGGAGCCCGAGGGGGCCACGGTCCCCTTCTCCAAGCTTCAGGTCACACTACTGGGGCAGGGAAGCTCTCCCTTCTCCGAATCACTCAGGTGCCCACCCCTCCTCGGCTGACCTCCGCCATTGTCCCCGGAGGAGAGCGCCCCACCGTCCAGCAAGCCCCCCTCAGCGGCAGATGGACACCTGGCCCCCGGAGCCTCGGCTGAGGCTGCGGTGTTTGTCTGGCCCATCCCACATGGGGAGCAAAGGCAGCAGCTTCTGATAGGATGGGGAATGATGGGTCAGAGGGTCCAGCCGGCCAGCCAAGCGCTCGCCCCCCACCACCCACCCAACCACCCACCACCTCCCGAGAGGGTCCCCGCCCCGTGAGGGCGTTGGGGAGTTTCTTCCAGGGACCCACCCATTTCTGGGGCCCGTCAGAGACTCTGGGACACAGAACCCTGGGCCATGGTGGTCACTTAGAAAACCTGCTCATCAGAGAACTCTAAAACCCAGACCAAGAGCCACGGCCTTGACCATGAGTCCCGGGGCGCACAGGACCGTGCTTCCCCTCACACATCGCTTAATGTTTAACCGCCCCGGGGCCTTGCCAGCTGCCAATGACACAATATTAATTTTGCACAAAAGAGAGTTTCAGAGCGGCCGCCCCAGAGTCTGTGGGGCATCGGTCACGGAGGCCTCAGCCTGGCAGTCCAGGGCTGGGGCGAAGGGCGCCGCACTCCTCGGGGCGTCTCGGGAGCCCGGAGCCCCATCCTGACTTCCCCACCTCACTTGTTTCTGGACCCTGCTCAAAGACCCCCCCGAGAGGACCCCCAGTGTCCCTGCCCCTCCGGAGTCACACTTGCCCCGTCGGTCTCTGTCCCCTCCGCTCCCTTGTGCGTCTGAGCAAGAAGCCGACAACGCTCCTTCGAGGCCTGGCCCCTTGAGAGCAGACCTGGAGTGGGGGCGCGGGCTCAGGCGGCCGCTCCTGGAAGTGCAGTGGGGGCTGGGGGTGCATTCCCGAGCTGGTCGCTGCTGCAGGCACCGGGGCCCCGTCCCTAGGGCCCCTACATGACGGCAGAGCCACACCCCAGAAGTGTCACCCTACACGCTGCCCGGGCAAGGCGCCTGCCCGCCGACCGCCTGACTGGGGGGCCTTCGTGGGCCTACCCAGTGTCTCCAACAGGCCACACCTGCAACCAGTGACATGCAGGATGCTAGTAAGGGACGCGGGACAGCCCCCAACCAGCCCAGTCCCAGGCTGGGAGCTGTGCAGGTGAGCCCAAGTGCCCCTGCCTCCTGGGTCAGGAAAAGGCAACCACACCCATTTTAGAGACAGGAAAACTGAGGCCTGGCAGGTCATGTGGCCTTGCCTTTGGGTGCCAAGGCTGGGCGCAATCTGACCACAGCCACGCTCCAGGAATCTCTACACGCACGAACTCGGGCACTTGCAGGCCTCGGGGCTCAGGGCTCGGGGCTCCGCGTGGGGAAGAAATCAAGGAGGCCGCCTTCTCCTGCGCCACATCTGAGGGGGGCCACCTGTGGGGACAACAGCATAGGACAGCGGCTGAGAGACCCAGGAGGGCCGGCTCTGGGCCCGTGGCTACGGGAGCTCAGCCAGCACGGAAACCTCCCTCTTTCCCTCTATAAGCAGAGGGAGAGGGCCGGGGGCGGACGCTAGCCATCACAGGCCTGCGTGGAAATTCTGAGAACATTCCGGAGGACGGCCAGGCCGAGCGGGCCCTCCAGTGTCTTAATTACATGGAACACTCAGCCCTTTCGCTCACGGAAAACTCCACTGATGGAAAACACACTCAAAGTAAGTAACACAGACCCCGTGAGCCCGGAACCTGCCTGCACACGGGCTCCGCCCCCGCCCAGCGCACCCCCCTCGCCCTCCACCAGGTCTGGGCTTGGCCCCAAGGCTCCCAGAGTCAGGACCACGTGAGTTAGAGCCCCACCAGCTCTAATGGGTCACTAGCAGCTCCCTGAGCTCCGGGCCTCGCTGTTCTTGTCTGTGAAATGCAGACGGCCACTCGGCTGGCTGTGAGACCCTGGAGGGAAGGGACAGTGAGCCCTACCACAGCTCACAGTAAGCGGGCAAACATACATTTTAATTCTTTTCTGTTTTAGAGATGTTATGTATTTATTCTTAGAGAGAGGGAAGGGAGGGAGAAAGAAAGGGAGAGAAACATCAACGTGTGGTTGCCTCTCACAGGACCCGTACTGGGGACCTGGCCCACAACGCAGGGCTGTGCCCTGACTGGGAATCGAACCAGCGACCCACTGGTTCACAGGCCGGCAGGCACTCAGTCCACTGAGCCTGGGCCATTTTAATCCTTTCACGTCCTCGAGTGTCTCTGTGGTAGTTCTCGGAGCCCACGGGACTCCGGAGCTGAAATCGGGCGGGGCCGGGCCAGAATGCTGCGGTGAGGGGCCGCAGACGGGAGTTCAGGGACAGTGGGCAAGCCACCAGGTGACAGAGGCGAGCACCCTCCTGCTCCGTCCCTTGGCCCAGCCTCATGTCCTCGCCCTACAGTCTGTCTTCAGTCTGTCTGTCTGTGTCAAGGCGTCAAAGCGGATGGATGGACAGCGCATCAACAGCCCCGGAGGGAGGGCTCCGGCTCCAGCGGGCAGCGGGGGGCAGGGCCGGGGAGGGGGCGCCTGAGGGGAGCCCCAGCCAGATGCAACCAGGGCCTGGAGGGCCGGAAAGAGCCCCACCCCCGAGGGCCTCCGGGGCTGCCCCCCTCAGAGGGGGGGACTGTGCTGCCAGCCCCCACCCCGCAGATAGGAAGGCTGGGGCCTAGGGACGGGGACCGGCACCTCATTGCCGCGTCAGAAGCGGGGCCAGCGCTGGAACCCCGAGGCTGGGGAAGTGGGGTGCCCGCTCCCCCTGCCCCCCAACCCGGCCCCACCTCGCCCACAGCTCGGCGCCTGGGCTGCGGTCCAAGCAGCTCTGGAGGAGACTTGTTCGACACCGCAGTGTTTTTCCTGCGACTTCCTCTCTGCAGGGCACTGTGCTAGGCCTTCCAGAAACTTCCGAGGAAACCAAAACCCGAGCCAATTTCTCTGGCCTCTGGTGGCTGGGGGTTGGGTGGGGACGGGGGTGCAAGGCCCTCACACAAGAGGAAATGCTGTGGCTTGTGGCAAAGCAATGAACCCACTGTCCCCAGGGCAAGACCCCCCACCCCTAGCAGCCCCCCACCCTGCTGCCGCCCCACGGAATCCCGGCCTTGGAGCCTGCACCCCGACCGGGTCAGGGTGGGCTCAGCCACTGAGTGTGCCTCCTGGGCCACCGTGGCCAGCCCTCGCCTCGCCCGCAGCCCCCAAACCCCACGACCCCCCCTCCCTTGGAGGGAGCCCCACTGCTTCACGCCGCAGTTGCTGACCCGGCACCCATAGGCACGGTCACTGAGCTCTGCCCCGAGCACGGTGGAGAGCCAGGTGAGCACGGGGTGGGCCCCCGAGGCTGCTCTCTGCTCTCAATCCACACGGGACCTCACAGCCAGAAGCCCAGGTGCCCACTCAGCTCACCTGTGCCTCGCAGGAAGGCCCCGGTGGCTTCGTGGAGGGCAAGCCCTGGGGGCTGGCCCACCCACGTGCTCCTCCGTGGGGAACAGCTGGTCGGCCACGGGAGCCCGGGCCTCAGGGCCTGCGTCCCCCACTGGCCGGGGTGGCACCTCGAGCTTTCCTCTCTCACTGGAGGATCCGGGGCTTTTCTTCAGATCACCGTCTTTGGGGTGTGCATCTCCTCGGGAACGTTTTCCCCGGAAGACTGCCGACTCACAACACAGAAGACGTCTAACTGCGTAAAGATGCCCGGCCACCTGACGTTGGATCACGCTAATCTCCACCGGGCCCTCAACACACCAGCCGGCACACGCGCACACACACACACATGAAATCTTCCCGCAGCCCTCTCTCCGGGATGCATCCGTGGTAGCTCTAAGGCACGCATGTGCGCCTGCGTGAGCCATATCAGGTGAGCCTGTGCCAATGGCCACCACGGCTCCGGCCCAGCGCGCCTCGGCGAAGGGAGGTCAGAGGCCGTGCTCACACTCGAGGCCCAGCCCGTGGCGTCCCCGGGAGGATGCTGTTACGCCAGCAACAGCAGCGATGACGGCCACCTGGACCGCGTCTGCTGGTCCGGGCAGCAGTCTGGGCACACGGTGGGTTCGCCCAGGGGCCCCTCACAGCCACACTGTGATGGGGACCCTGTCACTGCTCCATTTACAGGAAAGAAACTGGCCTGGAAACCCTGATAATGGCAGGTTGGTGGACCCTACAAGACTCGGGCCCCCTCAGGCGATGCCCCCCGCCCCTCCCCCAGAAGACAGTGTCCTTCCTGCGTGTCTTCTAACGTGGACTCCTGTCCCCTCGTACCACCTGCTTTCAACAGACTGCACCGCGCCGCACACGGCCAGGGCCTGGGGGTGGTCAGACAGACACCCACCCAGGCCTGGGTCCTGCTCTGCTCCGCAAACACACAGCCTTAGCGCTCCCCACACGGCGCCCCGCTGGGCCTCAGTAAAGCGGAGGTGGCCACTGCCCTGTTAGAGGGAGGGAGGGAAGGGTCACGGCGGAGTGCCGTGTCCGGTAGCCAGGCCAGCCTCTGTGGCGGGCGGCGACATCCCCCAGACTCGGGGCTCCCGCTGCGCAGGCTCCGACCGAAGGCCTGGGCCGTCCCATGAGAGTGAACCCCACGGAGGAGCAGACCTGAGCCGGGGCCACCCCACCTGCGGGCCACATGGGAGCCGTGCAGGCCCTTGGCTCCACGCAGACCTGCCTCCCCGCCACAGCACCCGTCCTGCACTGCCAAGGTCATGGCTTTCCCCCTCCCTGCAGGGGACTCGTGGGTACGGGCCACCACCCTCCGTGCAAGCTGGCCCCTCACAGGGCCGGGCTGAAAACCTCCCGGAGGCACCATGCGTAGTCGGGGACGCAGCAGCCAGCCGGACACTGGGAAAGCACCACTGACCCTGCTCCGTCCGTCCTCCACCAGGAGGCTGGCTGGACCTTCCTTCATCCCGGGAACACATGTCCCAAGCGGCCCTGTCACTGGCCTGCACTTTGCCGCTGTCCCCCACTCAGCCCCACCCACTCTGTCCCCTCCCCCACCTCTGGGTGGTCTGATGGACTGACGCCTCTGCGGGAAGGGCTGCCGCTGCCTCCTGGGCCCCTGCAGAGCTCTCCCCGACCCCTCCTGCCTGCCCAGACCCCCTACTCCCCACGTTACATGTGACAACCTGGGGCATTTTACCAAGACCGTGACAGCACAGAAACGCAGCCCTGGGGACAGCAGTGTCCCTCCCGGGGTACTGGCCACCCCCCTGTGTGCATGTTCCCCTGCTGGTGTGGATTCAGGGAGCCCCTTGGGGACCGAGGCCCCCCGCTGAACTCCGGACCGCAGGTGTCCCAGCTACCCCCGCCCAGCCGCCTTCACTGGGGACCCCACATCTCCTCGATCACAGTGGGGGCGATGTGAAGGGCTGCAGGCCCGGCCACCCACTGACTGGCCTCCAGGGGTCCCGGGCAGCAGCTCGGAGCCACACTGATGCCGCCCCAGGCCCAGCACGTGGGGTTTCCTGGGAGTCCCAAAGTCGCCACCACCGTGAGAGGCAAAGCTGGCATCCAGCCCAGCTCTGGCCCATCCCAAAGCCCAGGCCCCACCTCTGGCCCTGGGCCTGGGGGCCCGCACACCTAGGGGCCCCGCAGGACACAGGCATGGGCAATACTAAGCAGGTCCCTCCGTCCCTGCGCGGTCCCTGTGCCACCCGCTCTGTCATCGCCCCTCCTGCACCCCTGTCCCTCGTCCTGGCTTCCCAGCCCAGCCCGAGGTGCCTGGCCGACCGAATCCTGCCCTGGGGAAGAAAGAGCCCGCAGGCTCCAGCCCACGCGTCAGGGGGCCGGCCTGCACGACCCTGCGTGGATTTCCTGAGAGACGGTGACCATTCTCTCCCCGCCACAGCTGAGCCATGAACTCAGGGACTTGACTGCCCAGGCAGTGGGCTCCCCCGGGTGCCACCATCAGTGTCCCTGGCATCGGTCCCGGCCCCAGACTGAGGGCGGGCAGCGCGGCGCCTCCTGCCACCGGCCTCAGAACCACGCCCGCCGAGTGGCCTATGAATCCTGCCCTCACTCGGTCCGTGAGGAGCCTGTGGGCCGGCTTCCATCCTCCCAGCCGGCCAGGGACCCCCACGTGCTGTCCAGTGTCTCTGGGGCCGATCCCAGAGCCAGCTCTTCCCAGAACGAGTGAAGGCGGGTGTGGCGGGCCTGGCCTTGCCGCCCGGGCGTGGGAGGGACAGATGGGTGACCCTCCACTGAGATAAAACAGGCCTGTAAATCCTTATCTCAATCCCTCCCTAAAAGCTACGTCGGGCAAAATGGCCTGAACATTATTTTAGCCTATTAACAGCCTATGAATTAATCACTCGCAGCTCACGGAGGCCTCGTCGGGGAGCGGGGGTTGGGGAGAGAGTGGCGAGGTAATTATGCACCAGGCGCGAAACTCGCATCGAAGAGGCATATTTTACACTTAAATTATAATTAAATTTAGAGAAAGCTCTTCCGCCCAGTACACAAACACAATCTGTGCCGCCTCCCCGGGGCCGCGACTCTGAACCATTTATCTATTTGCCGCGGGAAGACTGCGAGCCTGCCGCCATCGGTGCTGCTGGGGGGAAGGTTCCAGAACACAGCCTGGGCAGCATCCACTCACACCCCGGGGCGTGGGTATGACCTTCCCAGCCCGGGAAGGTCCACTGACGGTGCCCCTCGGAGGGAGCCCCAGTGTCCTGCCAGGACGGCGAGCGGCCCTCCTGCCTGCCACGCCCCAGCTGCTCTGCCTGCGGAGAGAGAGGCCGCAAACCCTTCTCCGCAATGAGAGGCACAAACGGGGCCGCCCGTGCCTTGAAGTGCTCCTCGGGACGATTTCTGGGCCGCCCCCAAGACGGGCAAACACGAGCCCACCCCCACCGAGTGTGGAAGCTGGTCAGAGGCAGACCTCGAGGGGAGGGACAATGGCCCGACCCCAGTGTGTGTCGGAGCCAGCCTCTGGAGATGGCCGGGGCCTGGAGAGCACCAGAGTGGATGGGTGGACGGGCGGCTGCCCTCCCTGCTCGGGGACACACGCATTAGCCCAGCAGACTGGCCAGGTCCCTCTGCATGGAGAGGAAAGAGGGGACATGCCCTGACTGGTGTGGCTCAGTGGATTGAGTGCCAGCCTGCACACCAAGGGGTTGCAGGTTTGACTCCCAGTCAGGGCACAGGCCTGGGTTGTGGGCCAGGTCCCCAGTAGGGGGCGTGTGAGAGGCAACCACACATGGATGTTTCTCTCCCTCTCTTTCTCCCTCCCTTCCCCTCTCTCTAAAAATAAATAAATAAAATCTCTTTTAAAAAAGGAAGGAAGGAAGGAAGGAAGGGATGTGTGGCCGACTGGCGGGTGACCCAGGAGCCCCAGGGGCCGGGTGGCAGGCTGCACAAACCACTGAGGAGTGAACCACAGCACAAAGGGCGCACAACCCAGTGGGCTCTCACAGAGCCCAGGTCGATTCCTCACAAACACCCCTCAATAGATGAGGAAACAGGCCCTGCATGTCGCTCCCACGAGGGACCCGGCCACCAGGAAGCCAGGCCTGGCCCCCCAGCCCCGGGCTCCCCCTCTCCCAGGCCCCCACCTCCGTTCTGGTGGGGCGAGGCCCCACACGAATGCAGCCTGAGGCCACGTGAGCCCAGAGGGTGGCTTCGAGGGCAACAGCTTGGGGCCGGGCTGCCAACGTTCTTCTTGCAGAGTTCACGGCTTCCTGTGCCCTAGATGAAAGGCTCAGGGACCCCCTTCACGTCAGATGGGGACAAGACCCCCTGAGGAGCTGTGTGTGGACAAATCAGAACCCGGCCCAGGAGATGCCCCGCCCTCTTCACACCCGGCAAGAAACCTCAGAGAAACATGCTCAGGACGAAACACACCGGGGGCAGTGGCTCCCGGGGACCCCACACACCTGGGACTCAGGGGCCCAGGGTGGGAGGGGACTGCCAGTGTGGCCCACGCACCCTCAGAGGTTTCATCCCCAGAGGCAACCCTAGCTGCCCGCAGTCCAGTCTGGGCAAGGTCGGGGTGGCTGCGACCCAGCCTGCTCTCCTGTGGCTCCGGGCCTGGGCCTCGGTGTACCTGCCTGTCCAGTGGGGGCCCCTGCGCTTGCTGGATCAGCCCCAGGGGCTGCACAGGAAGGCGGCCACAGAGGCGGGGGCTCCGGGCCCTGCTCCCAGACCCGTCCCCCCGCAGGCTGGCCACTCCTAGTATCCCACCAACCCATTGGTCCCCCTCACAGTGACATGGTGACTCGGTGACAGGGAAACTGCACAGCCCGCAGCCGCCTCTGCTGGCGGAGGGAGCGGACACCCTCCAACGCCCGGCACCCCACCCTGACACCTCTGCCCACACCGGCCAGGGCCTCCTGGGGAACACACTGCCTCCCAGGCCAACACGGCCGCCCAGTCTGAGGCCGGGCCCCCGGTCCGGCGGGCCAGCTTGAGGGGGTTGTGCAGCCCAGGAATGTGGGGCCCAGCCGACCCAGGGTCTGCCAC